GGCACACAAACTCAGTGAGAGACCATCCCTGCCCCAAAAAGCTCACAGGCTAAAACCCCCGAATGCAGGATCATTCTCCCCCTTTGCTAGATGGGGAAACTTTGGTCCAGAGAGACTCTGTGACTCACCCAGTGGAGTCTGCGGCATTGCAGTGGACAAAATCCAGGAGTTCCTAGTCCTGGTCCAGTCCATTAACCACCTGGGCCATGACTCCTCCACTACTGCAGAAGGCCACAGGGTAAACGTATCCGCCCCCACAACCCTGGTGCAGGAGTTTGAGCCTCTCATCTCCAGCTCCCAGGGTGGCTATAGCGATACGAGGTCCCGTCTCCTACCCCCAAGCCCACAGCCAGTGGCATTTGCTGGGATGGTTCCCTGGGGTTCCCCTGGCTGGGGCACAGACACCCCCCCAGACTCACCTTCTCCTTCAGGAAAAGAGCGTGGTCTGCGCTGGCCCTGTCCAGGACTCTCTGGTTGTGGAAGGTGATGGCCATCTGCACGGTGAGGACAAGGCTGGGGTCAGCCACAGTTTATGGGGCCCCTGTCTCCACCTAGCGACTGCAGTTTCCACCACAGCAACCTCATCTAACAGAGCGATGTCACTAGCCAGTGTGAAACTACAACTCCCATGAGCCACTGTGGCAGCTCTCCCTGAAGCCAGGCACCCAAACTACAAGCCCCATGATGCTCCACAGCCACGAACTCCCATGATGCATCATCTCCCTCCTCTGTGGTGCATCATGGGAGCTGCAGTCTGACCAGAATTGATTTATGGGAAGAAAAGGGAGCATGCAGAGCCAAGCTATAATTCCCATGAGACACCACAGTGGCATTTCCAAATCGAAGTATTTTGGCTTTTGATATTTCGCCGATAACTAAAATTCAGCTGCGTGGGGAAAAAAACCAAACACACTCCTGAGATGCAGCCACCTCTGGGTCGGAGCATCTGGGAACAGCCACACACAACACTGCAGAGGGATGGCTCACCCAGTGTCGAGATGCAGCCACTTCTGGGGTGGGGCAGCTGGGGAATAGCCTCACAGCAACCCCACACGGGGATGACTTGCCAGACAAGAGATGCAGCCACCTTTCGGTCGGAGCATCTGGGAACAGCCACACACAACACTGCAGAGGGATGGCTCACCCAGTGTCGAGATGCAGCCACTTCTGGGGTGGGGCAGCTGGGGAATAGCCTCACAGCAACCCCACACAGGGATGACTTGCCAGACAAGAGATGCAGCCACCTCTGGGTCGGAGCATCTGGGAACAGCCACACACAACACTGCAGAGGGATGGCTCACCCAGTGTCGAGATGCAGCCACTTCTGGGGTGGGGCAGCTGGGGAATAGCCTCACAGCA